AGAAATTTGCTATTTTTTCACGAATGAATCTCAATCGAAGTACTCGTGCCAGCCAAGGCAAACTTCTAAATATGTAAAACTTTAAAAGAGCGATGCCGCCAAAGTTGGTTGCTTCTTTGCCGTACACATAAAATTCATTTTTTGGATTTCTCATGGAATCAACGGTGACGCCAAAAGCGCAGGTAGCGATTACGTCATTGGTATATCTAGTAAAAACGTCCTTTGTTTGTATTATCTTCTGCTCGGATGGTAGTTGTGTTAAGTAATTGCCAAACTTAGCGCCGCAGTCTGACATTAGTTTAAACATATTTTTCATTTTGCTGGATGTGAAAGCAGGGCTCAATAAAGATCGCATTTGCCGCCATCTTTCTCCGCGAAGAGAAAAAAGATTCTTGCCGAATAATGGATCTTGAGTTTCTTCAACAAAGGCCAAATGATCCATAAACATATCGAAATGTTTTAGCGTAACAGATTTAATAAGCTCGGGGTCGCGAATCACGGTGAGCGGTCTGGTTAAATCATACATGCCGACATACTTGGCGTTAGGATTTAAATCGTATATTGATTTGACGAGATCGGCTACCGATTGACGACGAAAGATCGAAGGAGCCATATTACCAAATATAGGAAGCGGCTTGACATGCGGTATTCCATGCTTTTTGAAAAAATTCAAATCCTTCAGAAGAAAATAATAGAGGCCTAGAGCGCCCGCTATCACCGATAGAGCGATTACGTATACCATATTGATAAGAAAAAACTATTCTGTTGTGTTAGTTCACACCATGTAGTTGTTCTTGTACATCAAAATTAGTTTTCGATTTTTACACTTGATGTTTCACTAAGCGCGCAGTTTACTTCATAAGGACACACAATGTTTCGCGTCGAGATTAGACGGTCGACTGCTGATGCACCGGGACGATCTTTCTTATATACGTACGGTATGAAGTGTCATTGGTTACGCAACAGAAATGGAGGAACGTGACACTTCAATTATAATTATCTTTAACACGGCTGACGTACTATTGAACATGATGAAATACATTGGATTCTTCGTATTATTGTTAATGTAATTTTGTTCAATTTTAACTGATGTTCGTAAATTTGCAAATTTTAATTAAAAGCGTAATTAATTAGGCTAATAGATTCGTACGCATAGATCGTCAGTCAATTATTGTAATTAATAGTTCACGAAGATTTGTTGTAGAGTTTTTATTTAAAGATTTATGATTTTTTGGAACATTTATTATTTTATAAAAATTTTTGAATTTTTTATAAAAATGTATAGTGAAATTTTAGTTATTATTTTAGTTATTATTAATTCTGTTAAATCATCGATTCATTAAATAAGGCCTCAACTGTAATAGAAGCTTTTCTATTAAAATGTCGAAAAATGTTCGTGATTATTAGATATAATAGCAATAATTGTGCACTAATTAAATGAGAAAAAAAGTAATTTGTGCTATTAGTTGATAATCATACCGAGATAATATTCTTTTATCTTTTTTATGCTATCTTTTTTCTTCGTTCTCTTAATAATATGATAATAAAACATATAAACGACAGATAAAGATGACATTGTTCCTAACATATGAGAAAGATTCTTATTGGGGAGAAAGCAAATGTTTAAACTTGATATAAAAAAATATTTCCATTTTTTTTTTTTTTAACAATATCCAATATATAAAGGCGACGTTGTTTCCAATATATCAGAAAGATTCTTATGGAAATGTGGGAAAGCAATTGTTCAAACTTCAAATAACACAATTTTTTAAATAAAGAATCAGCGCCTTGCTTTAGGTTTGTTGCCTTCCACTTTATCTGGAATTTAAATAATATTATATTTTAATTGATGTGTACATTTTTACTTTGTTATTAATTAGCAAAATAGTAAAAAATGTCTTTGTTTATTTGTATATTCAAATTTACAAGATATGATTAAAAAGTAATGCAATATGCTTACGGCTAGTGTGTCTCATTAATTACGACAGTGTTATGCGGTTTTTGCCTTGGTACCACACTTAGCCAGAAGCCTCCTTCAGGTTTCATATTAAAACCGTCGTTAGCGATTTTGAGCGGTATCGGTGTCTTCTCGCAAGGTTTCAGATTGCAACGTGCCAGCAGATGAAAGAGAAGAATTTTTGTTTCTAACAATGCGAACCTGTTACCTATACACATTCTGGGACCCAATCCGAAAGGCAGATAAGCTCCGCTATGGAGAGAGTCATTCTTTCGCTCTCCAAGAAACCGCTCCGGATCGAATTTTTCTGGCTCCTCGAAATATTTAGGATCATGATGAAGTCCATAAACTGGTATCCATATGCCTTGTCCTTTTTTTATAGTATAGGGTTTTATTCCTGGTAAGGTAGGTGGTAGTTCAAAGTCTTTCATGCATATTCTGTCTAATGCCACAGAAACCGGATATATTCTGAGAGCCTCGTTGATGACAGCATCTAAGTATTCCATATTGTTCACCGCTTCGTAAGGTGCTTGTCCATTCGTCTTTTCCAAGACTTGATCAATTTCAGTTTGAAGTTTTTCTTGTATATCTCGATTCATTGCAATTTCATGTGCGGCAAAGCACATTAAAGTCGAAGTGCTTTCAAAAGCCGCCGAAGACGAAAATGAACGCTTGTGACACCATATCTTCGATGCTCAGTTCTGTTTTGCTCTCTTTACCTCTGTTGTCCATCATCAACTGTAGCATATCTGGTCGAACGATACCATTCTCATCCCTGGTTTTTATCGTAACTTCCACAAGGTCTCGGAAGAAGTTTGCTATTTTTTCACGAATGATCTTCAATCCAAATATTCGCCCTAACCAAGGGAAAGTTCTAAATATGTAGATTTTTAAAAGAATGATGCTGTCGAAGCCGGATGCTTCTTTGCCATACACATAAAATTCATTCTTCGGATTTCTCATGGAATCAACGGTGATGCCAAAAGCACAGGTGGCGATTACATCACTGGTGTATCTAGTAAAGGCGTCTTTCATTTCCATCGTTTTCTGTTCGGGTGGTAATTGTGCCAAATAATTGCCAAACTTAGCGCCGCAGTCTGACATGAGCTTAAACATACTTTTCATTTTGCTGGATGTGAAAGCTGGGCTCAACAAGGACCGTATTTGCCGCCATCTTTCCCCGCGGAGAGAAAAAAGATTCTTGCCAAGTAATGCATCTTGAGTTTCGTCAAAAAAGCCGATATGATCCATGAACGTATCGAAATGTTTCAACGTTATAGATTTAATAAGCTCGGGATCGCGAATCACGATGAGCGGTCTGTTTAATTCATATAGACCGACATATTTGGCGTCAGGGTTTAGATCATATATCGATTTTATAAGATCGACTGCCGATTGACGACGGAAGAGCGATGGAGCCATATTGCCCAATAAAGGAAGAGGCTTGAAATGCGGTATTTCATGCTTCTTGAAAAAATTCAAATTCTTTAAAAGGAAATAATAGAGGCCTAAAGCGCCTGCTAACACTGATAAAGCTATTACGTATACCATATTGATAAAAAAACTGTTTTACTGTGTTAGTTCCACCATGTAGTTGTCCTTGTGCAGCACAGTCAATTTTCAATCTTTACACAATCCACTTGATATTTGACTAAGCGCGCAGTTGTTTAATAAGGACACACAATGTTTCGCGTCGAGATTTGACGGTCGACTGATGCTGCACTGGAACGATCTTTCTCATATGTACTGTATGACGTATCATGGCTTATATAAGAGAAGTGAAGTTTACGTTAATTTAAGGATAATTATCTTTAACACCACTAACGTACTATTAAACGTGATGAAATACGTTGGATTCCACATATTATTGTTAATGTAATTTTGTTCAACTGGAACTGATATTCGTTGTTGTAAATTTACAAGTTTTAATTGTAAGCGTATTCAATTACTCTGATGGATTTATATGCATAGATTGTCAATCATTTATTCGTATTAATATTCCACGATTTGTTTCAGAATTTTTATTTAATGGTTTATTATTTTTTAGATAATTTATGATTTGAAATAATTTTGTATTTTCTGTTAAAATGTGTAGTAAAATTGTATTTATTAGTCCTATTAAATAATCATCGATTCATTAAGTAAGACATTAACTATAGTGGATACTTTTTTATTAAACAATGTGTCTTACAATGTGTTTTAATCGCACGTATTACTGACATTAAAAAAATTTATAATAATTGTGTAAAAATTTATTATAGACAATATTGAGTACTCCATCTTTGAAAATGTGCTAAAAGAAGATAATAATAATATATTATATGTCTGGTGTTACCGAGAATATTGAGATCGCTTTAAATCCACATTTTATTCTTTATTTGTATTGCTAATATTGACAGTCTTTTTATTTTCAGTTATATTAATACAATTTTTTTATAATAATTTTTTTCTACATGCACAGAGTTTGGTTTTTAAATAAGCATCGATTAATTATATCTGAGGGGAAAGGAGAGTGAGAATTTTTAATAAATAATTTTATAAATAAAAAATTATTAAAAAACTATAAATTTTCATAAGAATTACGTACAAGTTAATGAATAATTAAAGATTCATAAAATTATTAATTATGATTATTCGTCGTACAATGACCGACTATGTATTTCAGCTCTTAGTATGTTTGTTATCTTTTTGATAACACCTTATCTCACATACAAACAAAGACACTAATCAGCAAATACCGTTTTAATAGAAAGATAGCGAAATTGCGCGTTGGAAAATAATGCAGTCGACCTTGACCATCGCCAGTCGTCAACAGTATACTTGAAGCAAGATTGTATTATAATCGACACTGTTCCTGCAGTATTAAATTAATTTGCAGAATCATTCTCTGACCTTGCAGCTTCCACATGTTAATCTTTTTTATCGCTACTTTTTATAAGCTCTTATATTATAAGTATAATATAATATATAATTCAACATGTATTTTCTATTTTAAATTGAGAAATATACTTATATTCTCCCTATATTTGTAAATGTTTACATTTCAAATACTTTTATATAAGTACGCACTTGCCCTTACAATTAGATTATTTTATTGTCGACTAGATTATTTTTTTGTGCTCAGTGCTGTTGTTTTGCATCTGTAATGTTAGAATATCTGTTCTCTCTCGGTACAATGTTTAACCAACAGCCGCCTTCGGCCCGCGTTGAAAATCCACCTTTTTTCAGTTTTAGAGGTATCGGCGTCTTTTCGCAGGGCTTCAAATCGCAACGAGCCAGAAGATGAAACAGTACGATTCTAGTCTCTAATAATGCAAATCTATTGCCGATACATACTCGCGGGCCTAATCCGAACGGATAATAAGCGTTAAGATTACATTGATCTTTCTTATTCTCGTCGAGAAATCTCTCGGGCTTGAATTTATCCGGCTCGGGAAAGTACTTGGCGTCACGCTGCAGTCCGTAAAATGGGATCCAGAGTATCGTTCCTTCTTTCACGAGATACGGTTTTGCGTCCGGCAACGCGGCAGGCAACTCAAAGTCTTTCACGCACAGCCTGTCTGTCATCGGTTGCACTGGATACATTCTGAGAGTCTCGTTAATCACAGCGTTCAGATATGCCATTCCGTTGATCGCCTCGTAGGTTGGCTGGCCGTTCGTGTCTTCCAGAACTTGATCGATCTCGTTTTGCAGCCTCTCTTGGACTTTCGGCTTGACGCCGATTTCATAGGCCGCGAAGCTCAACAGTGTCGAGCTGCTATCAAACCCACCGAGGAAGAAGATAAACGCTTGTGACGTCATGTCCACAATAGTCAGTTCTTTCCCGGGTTCCCTTTTGTCTCTGCTGTCCATGAGTAGTTGGAGCATATCCGGGCGAGTGATGCCGTTTTCGTCTCTGAATTTTATGGAGTCAGCCACCAGATTCATAAAGAATGCATTCGTGTGTTCATCCAGCATCTTGAGATTTAACAAGCGCGCGAGTCTTGGCGCGTGTTGATATATTAGAATTTTTATGATAGCAAGTGTGTTAAAATTCGACGCCTTTTTGCCGTACGTGTAAAAGTCGTTTTCCGGATTTCTCATCGAATCAATGTTAATTCCAAAAGCACACGTGGCGATCACGTCATTGGTGTACCTTGAGAAAATATCTTTCATTTCCATGATACGTTTCTCCGACGGTACGTTCATTAGATAGTCTGAAAAATTTATAGCGCACTCGGATGCCAATTGGAACATTGCCTTCATTTTGCTGGATGTAAATGAAGGACTGAGAAGCGCTCTGACGTCACGCCATTGGTCGCCGCGAAGTGCGATGAGATTCTTTCCGAAAAGCGGATCTTGGTTCTCGCTGCTGAAGAAAAGATGATCCTCGAACGAGTCGAAATTTTTAATGGCGACAGACTTGATTAATTCAAGGTCACGGATTACTACAACCAATCTCGTGAAGTCAAAAAGACCGATATACTTAGCCTCGGAATGTAGATTGTACACTTCTTGAATTATTTGCGCGAAGCTTTTTGGAAATATAAAAATCATCCAAAGTCTTTTCAGTAAGGATGGTTTCTCCACGTGTGGAATTCCGTGTTGTTGAAAGTCGTTTGATTTTTTGCGGGATGAATAGTAATAAATGGCTAGTGCGCCAGCTAATATTGATAAGACTATCGTCCAGCACTCCATGGCAGACGTTTCTCGGACACTCGATTGCTTCTCAACGGATTGAGATACAGTAAAATATAAATAAAGTATTGTGAATAAAGTTTATGATTAAATCACTGTTTGCGACTGTGTAGGATCCAATCCAATGAAAAATATTGAGCGCGATTGCGTTGTCGAGTCAAAGCGATCCACTCAGTTGAAAGTCTCGCGCACGACTGCTCATCCCGAGATAAAATTGCTTGTTAAATGGCTTGTAGCTTTATATATAGGTATATATATATCTTACGTCGCACGAAAATAATGCAAGAATGTTTTATTATTTTATAAATGTGCTGTACATGTGCATTGCGTTAAATGGAGTTCTCCGTGTTTCATATATCATGCGTATATGTTTTTAGATTAGATAGTAAATATATCATTATAAGAAATTTGTACGTTTTGATAAAAATACTTTGAAAATATTAATGAACTGGAATAGATAAAACGAAAATAGTTATTTATAGATTAAAATACAGAAACTTATCGTCATTAATCTGTAATACATATGCACACACAGATACTGCTAATATATGCAATTGATGTCTTGCGTGAGCACACGCATTAAACTGCACAACACGTACTACATGACTCACGAGTTATTTTGAAGCTTAAAGCTCTATTGCGCAGAAGTTAATTTGCCTTTACTGATATCAATGATCGGTATCAAGCATCGAATAATGCGTTGTATGTACCTAAAGTCCAGATAACGTGGTATTCTTTGCAGGTGAAAAAAGACGCATCATATTTATTAATGACAACGTTTGTCTTTTAATGTTGACAATAAAAATCTCAATTATTATTTTAATTTCTACTTTAAAAAAAAAATTATTTATTGAAGATTATTTTATATTAGAAATCATGTTCATTTATTATTTACAAGTTTTAACGCGACTTAAGGAAAAATATTTAGCAACTAATATAATTGTGAACACGCATATGACACAATCATTTCCACATCTACGCTAAAGCATCGCGAGAAGACAAGTGGTTGTCTGTTTCGGAATCCGACTTGCATCGTAGTGGGAAGCAGGATTTCGGTCCATCTAGCCACGAGTGCGCGTAGTAGTAAGAAAGAGCAAGAGAACGAGAAGATGCAAGAAGTAGGGAACGGAGGGACAAAGGAGAAACGGAAGAGAGCTGGCGGAACAAAATTCATTTGGCCAAATTAAACAGAGTTTAGCAATTTGCGCTTAATCCATTTGTCGGGGATCCGCCGTCCGTCAGTCCGCCTGCCTTCAACCCTCTCTTTCTCTGCGTTTCCCCCTATCCTTCCTGCAACCCCTATCGCGAACCCTTCTTCTGATCGTTCGTTCTATATATCTTACTGGCGCCTCGAGCTCTCCGCCTTTTGAAGCCGCACGTAGGTTTTATCCTAATTTCTTTCCGACAGAAATTTATCGCAACTATTTTTTTTTTCGCAACGCTGATATTCTATCGTACTGTTAGCATAAACATCAATGCTAAGATTCAATACATGTATGTCATCAATATATGTTGTACGAGAGACGTTGCGATAAAAAAGCAGCAAAACGCGTTGGCTCGTTTACTTATGCGAGACAGAGCGTTATGTGTTGCTTCCTCTTTTTTTTATTTGCTTAATATTCAAGACGTTTTCGTACGCGTTTGAGCGCGTTCTTTAAAGAGAAATAGATTTGAAATTTTATGTTACGTTCTATGAAGAGTTGAAATATAAATAACTTTCAATATAAATAACAAAAATGCTTTTTTTAATACAATATTCGCTGTTCTCAATTATATCAAACGTCAATAAAAAAAAAAACTCATATTTCCGATTCAAGACTTTCCGGGTCGAACGTATCATGACATCAAAATATTTTTGCACACGCCGCAACTGTGTTGACAAAAAGTTTAAAATTATGCGGACGTATCAACTATTTCTCTTCTTGTTAGTTATTGCACGCTAGCATTATACCAATCTCTACTTATCTTGCGCGTTATATGTTTCTCGAGTACTTGGATCTCATCACGGAACTGAGCCTCGTATCACTATCGAGCTGCTTTCTCTTCGAATCTAAACCGCTAGCAAGAACGGCGAATCCGACCTAAGTGTATTGGCAGTTGTGTCCACGTTTTATTTCCATTCAATCGAGTGAGCATCTTTAAGCTCACTTTTCCGGAAACTCTAGAGTGCTTTGCGCACGGATATTCTTGGTTTTTGGTCCTCTGGTGACCCTCTCATGGACCCGTTTAACGTCGATGTCCAGCACTCGTTTACCAATCGGCAGATTACGCGTTGGTACTTTTTCACTTTCGTATCTGCTTGCGGAGTTATACGAGCGTTTTATCGGTTGCTGTTATTTTTTAAATGTGCGTTTTCTTTTAGCGTCTGCATTAATGATGAATAAATTGCTGTGACGATTATTAACTTGAATGTTGCATCATTATCGTGATACTAGCTATGTTATGTTCGTTACGTGCTAGATTTGCAGATTCAATATACATTCGATATAATATTTTCAATATCAAAGTAGATTTTATTTCTATGGCATACGCGTGCGCGCGGAGAACGAAGTTACGCGAAAAAATCGACCGCGTCGTAATACGGCGCGATATGTCGATCTGTCGTGAGAATCGAACATTAAAAGAAACCCGAATTAGCGCAGCATAATGTCACGCGCTGGTAACAAATGTGTTAAAGTACCTTCTTGCAAGATGTCTAAATCATTAAGAGAGACCGAATCGAGTTGACGAATCGCGCTTTAATACCGTTACGCGTAACACTTACTAATTTCCAAGCTCTCCTCTGGAAAATGAACTCCTTCTCTCCTTTAGATAGGCGACGGTTAATATAGTTTACGAACCAAATACAGTAATCATATTTGCCTTTATACGCGCGGCTGGCAGACATTCATAGAGGTTAACCGTTCCGCCATTCCACTGTTCTACCGTCGAATCACCACTAAACACCGTCTCTCTTTTCACCGTTCAACTGGTACGCCGGCTGGTTCTGCTTTTCGGTCAGGATTCCGGTGAAACAGCGCGTGTATGTAATGTGGACACATTTGCAAATATAAATGTGCATGGATAGTGCTATGTATCGCCACTACGGGACGCGATAACTTTTTCTCGCTAGCGTCTAAGCGTGCTTATCGAATAGACTTCCGAATCTATTTATTTTGGAGTTTTTTATTATTCTAAATATAAAATTGTAAGTTAAAAAAGTATTGCAAAAAATTGTTACATTTATATAAACAACTTAAACATAAGAGACATATACAAAAAGCATTAGAATGTGCTCGCTATGATATTTTCAAATTCACGATGTACTAGAACTTTCGTTATAATTAATTGAATTTTCATTGACATTGGCGCCGATAATGCGCTTCGTTTTTTTTTTTTTATTGCGAGCCTAGCAATTTCAATACTTTATCGTTCACCGCCTCTGTTGTGGCCAAATCTAAGTTACGTTCTGTGCGAGCGCGTCGCATTAATAAACTGCGAGAACAGTGTCGCGCCATTTAATTTATCACATCGTACAGTTTGTGCGTCAAAGCTATTTCGGTATACACACTAATACTTTTTTTTCCATTAGAATATATAAAGCTCAATGGTTTGCGCGTAAAACTAATGGAATATGGGTGTACCGGGCACAAAGTCGCACGGAATGAACTCGCATACACTCGAAAGTCGTTGCGCGCGATACGGGTGATTCCCGCGCATGGTGTACCCACACGCAGTGAGAATTTAAGTATCCGTGAGGAAATGGATACTAAAACACGGATATATACTCGACACACGTGGCTAAAGTAGACGAGGTGAATATTATTGCCGACTTCCGGGCTCCCCGCAATACTTGGCACACGAGCTTAAAATCTGTTGCCGTACATATATTTCGCTACGCGCTCTTGTGATTTAATTCGCTGAGTTATTTAATCGCATATTCATTGCACATCAATGTCCCGCTTCTTTCGCGATCCGCTTAAAATCCTTCTGATACTCAAATTCGCCATAATTTCTAGGTCTCTGAAAGAGACGTTACATTATAAATTTCTATATTACTCTATTTTTTTACAAAACGTGGATCTGAATATCAAAAATATCCAAATATTCTGCAACAGATTACGGATAAAATAATGTTAGAAATTTCTTGCATTAAACAAAAGTGTGTGTGTGTGTGTGTGAAATAAATAATGGATTGGATATATTAGCTTTAAGTATCATCCATTATTATGCTGTGTATCATAAGGTAGTATCGATTAAAATTTTTTATTATCTCATTTATTTATTGATTAAGAATATTATTAACCACCCTTTTTTCTTATTAATTCTGATTAACTTCTTCCTGTTTAATTATATAAAATCTAATAATAAAATAAATTTGTAAAAATTTAAAAGTTTAATTACATATTCTTACTCAAATATTATTTTTTTATAAGATTACTCTTAACAACATTTTTAAATAATTTTGTAAGTTTTCTCCGATATATTTTTACCGTCTAAAGACATACAAGACTTTGTTTTTTATCCTTAACTTTAATATTATAATGAATTACAATTTTATGTAAGATTTTCAAATGTATTAATCAGCTCGTTTAAGGAACCCCATCGAGATCCTCAAGAAAGAAGATCGGATGCTTCTTCGCAGGTCAGGTTGGCGACGCGTATTCTTGGGGAATTAACACACATTTGCGATGTTATTGCTTGAGAATACACGTATTTGGCCTGGCCGGTCACATCATGCAAGACAGCGATTTGAGTAATCGTCCGCTAGATTCCATACGAGTTACCAAGAAAAATGTCGGGTGTGAGGTAATTGAAACTATTCTCTATTGACAAAATAATGCATTCAGCAATATATTATATTACAGGCACACTGTATTACGCTGATATAAGATGATCCTAACAATTAAATAATTAATAATTTGCATAAGTTAAGAATGTATTGACTATGAAATATTGAGATAATAGAAAAAACATTTGAAAATTCAATCAAACTAACCGCAATTATTGTCCCGCTTAAATGATCGATTTGCGATTTAATTATATTCCGAGAGAGAACATGTTTCTTGCATTGACCTATTTAAAATCGCGAGCTGACGAAATGCAGCTGGACAACAACCGCGGTTGCGAGCAAAGCAAAGAGGGAAATTTACTCCGGCGTGTAAATCACTCTTTAGTGTGGGCTTCGTTGAAAACTTAACAGGCCGAGTA